ACGGCCAAAAACTTGCACGGATCCGCCTTTTCTTTATATGCGACCGGCGGAACCATGAAGTTTTTGAGCTGCAAACAGTACCGCAGAGGGTCCACAATAGGGGTTCTCAAATCCCGCTTTCCCGCCTTTTTTTCTTCTCAATCCCGCCATCCCGCCCTATTTTATGCCCGAATCCCGATCCCGTCCCATTTTTTCACGAGATTTTTTGCTTAATTATTGAAATAGACGTTATTGTAAGACTTACCTTCTAAACTTATTGTCAGTTTTGATGGTCATTTTTTCGTCCGCGCATTGGTACATGTTAACTTTCTATTTTTAATTAAAAGTCCTGTATTTTTGGAGTTAGGTAGATCGATGTCTCACGATGACTCAACTGCTTTGCTGCTAGTTTCCGGTGATGAAGCCAATTCTTCCATAAGCCTGCTATTGAATCAAATAGCACGACCAAATGCGAGCACCCTTCCAAGCAGGAAATTTGCTTCTCCATCCAAAGTGGCAATAATCAACTTTCGCAAGTTAGCGAGACCATTTTAGTCGCCGACCGTAGCGCGGGGCACAAAGTCCATTGATATTCCAGGTTATAATACATCTAATACAGGGATAATGAGGCCGTTGAAAACAATTAATAATGGCCATGGACAGCGGTTGGACTGCGAGCAGTCTCCTATTTTTCCTTGCAAATTTATTGCACGAGAAACCCAAGCACGCGAACCTCGATAAACGCCCGGGGGGGGGGGGGGGTACTGCCATATATGGGCTATATAGGTATGTGCCGCTGTGAAGGGTATGGTTTTCAAGTAGTTTACTCTAGGATAGGGTATATAAATCAGAGCGTTTGGGTCTAGAATAGGGTATCATTTTTCGGGAAACTGATCAGTTGGTTGAAATTTTATCTAGACTAGGGAAACAGCTACTCTAGGATAGGGGGGATTTGTGAAAAGTTACTCTAGTATAGGGTAGCAAAATTTAGCTGAACTATCTCTGGTGTAGGTTAAGGGTTCCAGGGTCCCAACGGAACATCCCCACCCAGAAATTCCTAAAGTACCCCCCTGGGAAAAACGTCTGGTCCTAGTCCCTTATTGTAACATAACGTCGTGGTTTGCAATCGCGCTGGCTGCGATAAGAACTTTTAGACGGATTTTAAGAGAAAAAGCGGACTGCAAGCAGTCTAGATAGCGGTAAACTCAGATCGACTCACGTGACTGTTTCTTTTACGACTTTCAAGGTCTTCACTTGCCTTGAAACAGCAGCTCTAAATTTTTCTTCCCGAAGAAATGCAATCCCACTGGCGCCTTTTTCGTAATACAGAGCCACACAATTTATGATCTCTATCACATCGTCGTCATTGTGCACTTCCATCAGTTCTGTGTGGCATATCGTGATTAGACTTACTTTAGGGGCACCCAATGAGAATATAGTTCAAAACCACTTAAACATAGCATTTAAGTAATGTATTAAACGTATTTTAGTATTTAAACGGTAGATATAGGCATATTTTTATCCCCTGAAAATTTTTCATCTGTTCGGATTTCCTAGCTGAAAGTCTAGTGATCCGAAAATTATAGGGATCAAAACTTACCTTTTCGAAAATTTCAGCCAGAAAAAGGCTCCCGACAATTCTAGCTGACCTCGGTTTAGGGTAATAATCCGTTAAAAATTGGCAATTACGCCATTTTTTAGATGTTCGAAAATCCTAGGAGAGACAGGCAAGCAATAAATTTTAAAATAAATGATCGGAAAATTATAGTTCTCAAATTGTCTTCCGAACACATATTTTCCGCCGAAAATTGACGTTGGGTGCCCCTGTTACTTAACAAACGCGCAGTCCAAAGGATCGTTCAAGTCCGACAGGTCGGTCCAGGCAAAAGCAGAAAAGGTCAAATCCGTCAACAGAAAAGGAATCAGTGAAGATCAAGTGACAAAAACGACGAAAATAGCAAAACCGGAAAAGACGAACAATATACGAAAGTGATAATGGGCAAAATTTGACAGGCTTCACTTCTTTGACACTCATAGCTTGACTACAAAGGCGGTATACACACTAAAGATCCATTTTTTTCAGTCCACGCTAATAAATTTTTAGTCAAAGCAAAACTAAATTCCCGCATCCCGCTATTTTCCCCTTACGATTTCCGCATCCCATCCCCGTAAAAATAGGAATTCCCGCTCCCGCTGGTTATTAAAATTCCCGCATCCCGCTCCTGTTTTCAGCTCGCATCCCGAGTATCACCACGAAAAATGGCCAAATCCTGCATCCCGCCAAACCTATTGTGGACCCTCTACCGCAATCAGTAAGAGAATTTGCGCGTTCCCTCTAAACGTGGCGTTTATCTTGTGTGGACTGTGCAAAGAGCATTCTGAAAAAGAAGTGAGCAGGAAAAACAATGAGGGGAAGGGGTACGGAGTGAGATGCCCTAAAAACTCCTTTAATGGTACTTTTCAACAAAAGCCCCTTCCGGATCCTTCCGGTATACCAGATTCTGGTAAACGCTATGAATGGTTTATTTTGACAGCTCTTGTCAACATTCAAAGGTTTATTACCTTATGGAAATGCGAAGTGACAGCGATGAGATTATCAGTTAGAAGACTTACTTTCAAATAAGTACTTCGTCCGCTGGCTCTCTTGGCCGCCTTGCGGCCTAAAATGCTCGCTCCGCACACTGATTCAACTGCGCCTGCATGTACTATGTTTATTTTAATAAACAGTTGGTAATAGAAATTATTGCAAATTTTACAGCAAGCAATATCCACTGCCCGCAGTTACCCCGCCGCTTCGAAACTCGCGAGGTTGATACAGAGCAAGTCTAGCTAGCTCGCATGAGAGCGAAGTTAAGTGATTCATAAAGAAACAAAATAGATCTTTAATATTATCTACATTCACGGGACACCTCTAATGAGGAGGGAATGAAGCAATACCAGTTAATCGCCAATTAATCTGCAATCAGGCGTTCTTCTAAAGCTAAATTGAACTAATAGAAGTAATTGAAGAAGAAATAAGACTGGAGTAGGTCGCTGATAAGATGGTTTGTTTGTTTTTTGTTTTTTATCTTATTGGTAATCAGGAGCCCATAGGCTCCTGGTAATAGTTCATAATAGCCCACGTTCGATAAAGAAAAATTCTAACATGAATCCGAGACTTTCTGGTTACATTTCTATATTCGGTTTGGTTTTCTGTGTGCTCGTGGAAAATTTGCAATTTTTGTCCGTACGTTAGAGATCGAACGCAGCTACTAGTGCCAGTCCCTCCTGAGTGCTGAATTTTCAAGATGGCGTCGGTTTGTTATTTTCTAGTTTCATCCTATCGTTCAGCACTTTTTACCCTTTGAACATGTAACCTAGGCAGTATTTCGAGCTTTTTGATATTTCCTCTAGCTGCTGAACATACTTTACAGCGAAATATGGAAGAAAATTCACGAAGAGGACTTAAAACAAACACGAAGGGATCGGCCTGTTTGAAAGAAAAAGCTTGGAAACTATAACAAATGTGAGTTTTCTAATTTCTTCCTGTTTCAATGACCCAAAATGATTATTAGTGTTTTGGTTACATGGATGATAGTAGACTGCAATTTGGCTGTCAGAGTTGTTCTGTCGTTTTAGTTGTGCGCTGTAGATCAATTCAAAAATGCCCGATTTTTTGCTCGTTTGCAGACACTGAGTTTAGGTCAGATGAAATAAGAAAATTTTAGTCTTGTCCGTGGCTGCTTAAAAATTCTTATGGTTTTAGAAAGTAGTTCTATGATGTGTTGTATCGGATACAAAAAATAAACTTCGCTCGTTTAATTTTGAGGGTTCTGTGAGTTTCAGAAAATGGTGAAAATTTGCTTATAAAAATGGCGTCCGAGGGGGTCGAATAAAGTGATGCTCGTATCTCTAATACAAGAGCAGTGAAGAAGCTATGTTTGGTATATTTGCCCAATACTCCACCATACCTATCTGTGATGTTAGTATGAACTTATTCTGTTGACCCCCTTCCGTTGACATTTTTAACATTTTGCCCGGTTTTCTCTGACAACCACTCTTAAGATGACGGGTTTATGCTTCAATCTGTAATCCTTAGTGGATTGCAACTTTAAAAATTTTGCCGCAAACCTTTACCTGCTCTTTTTCAAATTTTCCTCTACAGATGTACCTGTATGCACACTCTCCTTCCTGTCCCCAGAGCCAGTCGGCTATTTTTCGGTTACGAAGACCACATGACGTCAAGCGGAAGTGAGTCTTGCCATGACGCTTCTAAGGGTGCGGTCGATTGATCGTATTCCGGAATAAAAATACGCAAACTTTTTGTTATAAATCTCTTGAACTATGTTTTATGGACTACTTGGACGCTTCACACATCGAAGTTTTATATTTCAAGCAAATTTGTATGGACATATAGTATTCCAATGCAATGAAGGCTAAAACAAATGATTTGTTGAGTTTATTAAGTTATTCTTATTTCCAAAAACGGTCAAGTGAATCGAACACTTCCTTAATTGTTTTGCTAAGTGTCTTTAGTGT